TCATCTTGCACAATAATTCAGAAGAGCATTTTGCAAAATGAGGTTTATATATAAATGTTCGAGATAAAATTCTGCGACGTTCCGTGACATTGATTCATAACTTAAGGGAATGTTTTTTTTCCCGAAAAACCATAGATTTATTTTACCCGATGGTAATTATCATTGATTATCACCTCTTTGATATGTGTGGTCTGTAGAAGGTCCGTTGCTGACACTGGATGCATTGACACGCTCCCAGTCAAAGTCATCATTCTTCACATTTTGAGACCAATTACACAGATCGTTCTCGAAATCACAGTAATTCTGTCCCAGCTCTAAAGACAGAACACAGGGCGTATGTTATGTATATAAGTGCCATCAATGCAGGATAGATCACAAGTTATAACATAAATGTATGCGTCATTATTACGTGTTTGGATTGTGGCTTGTTTTGCTTATACATGCAAAGGTTCACATTGGCTAGGAGGTCTAGGCCATCTTCCCAAAAACAACTTTCTACTTTAATTTCTGCCCAATACCGACGAGTCTTGTAAATGTAAACAACACATCACCAACCTGCTGGGTCTGGCGTTGGTGGTGGAAGAGAAACTGACGGGGCCTCGGCAAACGACGGATGAACGTGACACCAGCCAGTAGTAAACCTGATATCATCTATAACAACTATGCCAGAGGTGGTCTTTTCCGCCACTGCTTCCACTCTCACCTATGGGTATTAATACAACATTGAATTGCCGTAAGGTTACAAAAACATATCCCCACTCTCAGCTCCGAGATACACAGTGGCATTGAGGGCAGCTGAGGGATACATAACTAAACACTACTTTGCCACCAGTATTCTAGACTTACCGTATGTACAACAGGGCTGACAACAGGTATAGATGCCTTTCTCCATTCCCCGGTGGGGGATCCACCCGTAGTCCAATAAAGCTGTTTACCAGGAGGCATGGAACCGTAATCTACATAAATATTCAGCGTACCAATTGAAATCCCCGATGTGAAATACCTAGCATTTAGAATAGACGACGTGTCACGTTTACTATGAATAATACCATATTTAAATGATAGTGTTATGCATTTTATATTAGAGTTATATAGTTACCAAAACTGCATGCATCTTCCGTTAACATCAGTTTTCAGCAGATTGGAAATCATGATCTCGGCTTTTTTATTTCCCTGAGGATTCAGAAAATCAGCGTACATATAGGAGCCTGGTTGGATGGAGATACACACAACGTAAGTACTTAAATTAATAACTATTACACATAATTAAAATCAATTACGATTTGCGACTGTATCACTCACAAATGTAATAATTGTATCACTCACAAATGTATTACCACCCAACCACAAATGTATTACTGCCCAACCACAAATGTATTACCACCCAATCACAAATGTATTACCACCCAACCACAAATGTATTACCACCCAATCACAAATGTATTACCACCCAACCACAAATGTATTACCACCCAACCACAAATGTATTACCACCCAATCACAAATGTATTACCACCCAACCACAAATGTATTACCACCCAATCACAAATGTATTACCACCCAATCACAAATGTATTACCACCCAACCACAAATGTATTACCACCCAACCACAAATGTATTACCATCCAATCACAAATGTATTACCACCCAATCACAAATGTAT